ATGTATGATGGAATGAATGTAAAACTAATGTTGCCCCAAGTAGACTAACACACAACACACAATAAAACATTTGAAAAAAAAAAAAAGAATCTCAAAAGGGGAACAGGGACCTCATGGCCACCAAGAAAGAAAAGTCACCAGTGAAGCATATCCTTTGGACCCCAAGATCCCTGCATGGAGAAGCAGCGGCAGAGACACTGAGACGAGACAGTGGCAGGCTCCCTGACCCACAGAACCAGGAAACTGAGGGTCTGCAGGCAGGAGCAGGGGTCCTTTGGATGTTTATGAGCAGCAGTAAAGGAGCCTGAGCAAGGCAGAGGTCAAGAGGTCGTGGGGCTGAGACAGAGGCTCTGGGCCAGAGCGCCGTAGCCTGAACGGCTGAACTGTACTCGGAGCTTCTCTAAGAAGCCCCATCATCGTGAGTACTGAGGTCTGAGTGACCAGTACAAAGGATGACCAAGCCCAGCGGAGAGCAGGGCGTGCTGTGGAGGTGTGGCTGACCTCCACCTCACAGGAACCGGCCTTGGGCTTATGTGGAGGTTGATTCTCCTTTCACCTTGTGAGGTCAGGCGGCACCCCCCTATGCCCTGTTTGCAGATGTTCTCATACTTCATTTTTTGCACAATGCTGATTTTCCCATAATGATCTGGCCTTTGGAACACAACCATGCTTATGTGACCAAATTAAACAGTTTTCATATTTGTAAGGCTGAACATAGAGTCTGTTTTCATGGTTACCGGGTCCAGAGGTGAGCTAGCTTGGCTCAGGTAAGCTCTGAGGCCATTCTGAGTCCTATGCATGCTTCTGGTTTTCTAAGGGGGGGCTGCGTTTAGTACAGAGCAACAGGACAACACAGGGGCCCAGACAGCCTCCAACACCGTAACCACCAGCTTCAGCCAGCAACAGTGCACAAGTGAGGAGCCGTCTGGCAAGCAGGGGCATGCACCCTAACAGTGGCAAATCTGGGCCAGCCACCCACAGGCTCCCATCAGCACCCGGTACCAGCACCCAAGGGGAGACTCATCAACGCCTGCATTGAGGGTCCTCAACCTCCATGTCCCTTCTGAGCCCCTCTCGCGCTGCGCTTTAAGCGCACTGTCTTCTAGTTTAAGGAAGAATTGTATCTTCCTAGTAGCAGTCCGTGTACTTGAACAAGGTGTGATTGGAAGAGTGAGCTGTGTGGAGCCTTCTCTTCCAGCTTAACCATAGCGCCACCACACTCACCACGTTCCTGGCACTTGTTTTACGGAAACAAAGGGAAAATCAAACACATACAATGGGAAGGTGTAAGTGAAGCCGTTGTTTCTCACCCATGTTTGCTGCCCAGCCCAGATACCTACGGGAACGGTGGCTCGTTGGTGTGCTGGGTCTGATGGGCCTTTAGCTGCCGGTGCTTCCGAAAGGTCTTGTCACAACCTTCAAAATCACACTGCGGAGTAGAGGTGTGTTAGTCTGGATGAAAACCCAGGACTCACAGGATGTAACAGAATCCCACCGGGATAAAACTATTTTGGAGAATCTATACTTGCTACTTTTACCCATCTGTTGATGTTGTTTTGTGCTACTGAGTTGGTTCTGACTCAAAGCAACCCTGTGTAGGGTTTCCAAGGAGGGCCTGGTGAGTCTGAAGCACTGACCTTGTGGTCCCAGTGCTTTACCCCACAGCAGTACAGCAGGACTCCTGTGGTCAACAGTCCAGTACTTAACTATAAAACTCGCCTGTATGTCAAGATGCTTTATGAAATCATGACATTTGAGAATGCAAAACCGTTTCAGTCGGTGGAACCCACCACCAACGTCAGTTGTTGAATCAGTCGGATTCACAGCAACCCCACGTGTGTCCAAGTACAACTGTGCTTCCGAGGGTCTGCAATGGCTGATGTTGGGAAAATAGATCACGAGGCCTTTCTCCTTCCAAGACACCTCCTAGTGGACTCAAACCACCCACCCTCTGGTTGGCAGCCAGAAGTGTAACATGTTTGGACCATCCAGGAACTCTCTTGCTGGGTGTGCTGTCGAGTTGGTTCCCACTTGTAGCATCTCTGAATAGGGTTAAGAGTGGCTGGTGGGCTTGAACTGCTGACCTTGCAGTTAGCAGTCCAGTGCTTATCCCACAGCGCCATCAGGGCTCAGGGACTCGAGGGCATCAAGAGCACTTTAACTAGCAAACGAAGCGCCTCAGCTTTCAAAACAAAACCACTGCTGTGATGGCTAATGTTGACGGGACAAACTCAGGTATTTTACAGACATAAAAGTTGGCTGATGGAAATTTTAGAAATACAAGAATTTAAAAGTTCATGGGAAGAAAAATTCCATGATCTTTTCATTTAATTTTTCCACAAATTTTCAGATGCCCCCTTGTCTAGGTAAAAGCATAAAATATGCAGAAAATGTAAACATATGAAATCATTTGTACTTACCACATACTGTCTTTGCTGATTTTCATGTTTGCGCTCAAAATGTCTCTTCAAGTTTGATTTTGTGGTGCATTTCTGATCACAGCCTTGAACTTCACAACTGTGAGAAAAAAATGTAAAATCCAAAATCCGAACAATGCAAATATCCTCCCACTTCATTGCAGCCAGCGACCCCTAAATGACACGTAGTCCCTTATGATGTACGGCAGCCCTTTTGTGTGTGCGTATTGTATCATTAGGAATACGTACTATGTACGTTGCTGTCAGCTCCATTTCAACTCATCAGGAGCCCTGCTGGTGTTGGGGTCTAAGCTTTGGGACGCTAATCGAAAGGTCAGCGGTTTGAACCTACCCGCTTCTCTGTGGAAGAAGGATGAGGCAGTAGGCTTTCTCAGAGAGTTACAGCCTCAGACCCTATGGGACAGTTCTACCCAGTCCTTCAGCAGTGGGGCTGGTGTTTTTAAAAGGGATCAGATTGGCAACAGCCACTGGAAAGGTGAGACAGGAAGTGGTGGGTTTACATTGATGAGGAAGACTCAGGAAAAGGCGGGGAGAATGTCACCCAGGCCCCAGAATTGCACATGGAGAAGCTGGTGCATCGGCATGTGTTCTGCTGTGTATACTCTGATAACCGCAAAATAAATCCAAACCCAAGTGAAACTATGCAAGAAAAGAGAAAGAACGCCACCCAAGTGTTTTTGAATCAGGCCTTCTGCACGTAGGGTGAAGGCGCTAGCCCCCACCCTATACAAACTGCCAGGATTCTGTAGCCTCCCTGGAACATTTTGGGTGGCGGTTCCCAGTATGCCAGAAGCGCGCAGCAGTGTCGGTGCCTGGTAGCAGGAACCTGCTAGCTACAAAGGCAACTTCTCAGGTCTGACCCACCCCAGCTGAGTTAGAGGACCCCCAGCCCAGCAACCTGTGGCTCAGCAGGCCCTCCTGACGCCTCCTAAGCTGGGAGCTGAATGAGAAGGAGCCAGCATCTCCCCGCTTCAGAAATACCCAGCACTCCTCAACAAACAAATCAACAAAATCCCCACTGCTGCCGAGCCGTTTCTGACTCAGGACAAAGCGGAATGGCTCCCTAGGGTTCCTGAGCCCACAAGCCGAGCCGATGGGAGCAGACAGCCTTGTCTTTCTCCTAAGGACTGGCTGGTGGGTTTGAACTGCTTGCTGACTTATGATTCGTAGCCCAATGCTTACTCCACTGCACCACCAGTGTTCCTTCAGCGACTCCTAGAATAAAATGGGAGCTTGCATGCTTTCAAGGCAAAGACTTCATTCTCAGAAACACAAGCTGAACTGTTGCAAGCCCTCCCTGTCCACCAGTGACATTTGCTCTTCCGGTAGTTGACAGATTCATAGCGCTGAGCTAAGAATTGGTTAGTGAGAGCAGTTTTCTTTCTGGTTGGCACTGTGTGCTCCTCCAAGAGGTTTGGCCAGTTAGTCTCGTCAAAGTGGGTTTGGGGGACTGGAGAGAACTTGAGATGAGCTCCTTTTTGACGTCATTAGGTTCAAATGACCCCCTCGGCCCCTTCCCACCTGCAGAAACTACTCTTCATCTTACCCCAGGAGATGAAGATAAAAGCAATGTACATCATCGCTCAATGTTCCTGTTGTTGTTCTGAGCCGTGTAGTCGGTTCCGACTCACAGTGACCCTGTACAGGGTTTCTGAGGCTGTAAATCTTTACAGGAGCAGAAAGCCTCATCTTTCTACCACAAAGTGGCTAGTAGTTTCGAAGTGCTGAACTTAAGGTTTGCAGCCCGATTCATAATCACTACTCTACCAGAGCGTCTTGTTGTTGTGATGTGCCTTGGAGTCGGTTCTGACCCATAGCGACCCTGCACAGGGTTTCCGAGGCTGTACATCTTTACTGAGCAGACTGCCTCCTCTTTCTCCCGCAGAACAGCTGGTGGTTTGCAGCCCGTTTTGTAACCACTAAGCTACCAGAGCTCCTTCTCCCAGAGCTGTTGTTGTTGTTGTTGTTAAGTGCCGTCGAGTCGGTCTCCCAGAGCTAGCCGGGTCTAAATGCCAAACACAACTTGCTTCACAGTGCCCCAAAACCACTTACGCAAATGGCTTTTCCGTGGTGTGGGTCAGGGCATGGCGGCTTAGGTGGAACTCCCTGACGAAAGCTTTGCCACAGCCTTCATACTTGCAAACAAATGGTCTCTGGTGGGGAAAAGGAAAAACATCCATTCAAGTCCTACCCTAGTCGGTCAGTAACTGCCTGGCTTACTTTGTCCTGTTGTGAGGTGCTGTCGAGGCAGTTCCGACTCCTAGCCACCCTGGATAGGGTTTCTGAGGAGACGCTAGTGGGCTTGAACCGCTGACCTTGAGGTTAGCAGTCCAGTGCTGATCCTACAGTGCCACACCAGGACCCCTTACTTAAAGGCCCCAAATGTGTCATAGGCAGAGTTTTAAGGAGCCTTGGTGGCACAGTGGGTAAGCACGCATCTGCTAACTAAGAGATCAGTGGTTCAAACCCACCAGCCGCTCTACAGGAGAAAGACCTGGTGAGCCACTCCTATGAAGACTTCAGTCTACGACACCCTACAGGGGAGACGTTCTCTATCACATGGGGTCGCTGTGAGTCAGAAGAATGTATAAGCGAGGGCAAGGCTTCTACACTTGCTAGAGTTAAGGGAAGGTACCCTGGTGACACAGTGGGTTAAGCACTGGGCTTGGTAGCTGAAAGGTTGGCACCCACCAGCAGCTCTGCTCCCACAAACATGGCAGCCCCGGAAACTCTATGGGGTGGTTGTACACTGTTCTATAGGGGTGCTGCGAGTCAGAATAGGCTCAACGGCAGATACACGACAGGCCACACGAAAAGCCACAGACTACCCTCACCAGGGAGGCCTGCCATAGAGCTGTAGGATAAGCACTGGACTGTTAACCAAAAAGGTAGCAGTTCAAACCCACCAACTGCTCCTCAGAAACCCTACCCAGGGTCACTATGAGTTGGACCTGATTCGATGGCACCTCACAACACCACCACCTTCACCAGGGCGCATTTCCATTTTGAGTGTCAGGCCAAGGCGATGCTTTATTGGAAAAAGTTACACCATAACACAAACGAGAGCAGACTTGTGTTCTATGGATGCCACCGGAACTAAGTAGGCAGCTTCAGAGAGAGGACGCAGCCTGCCCCCTCAGAGATCACCTGTGTGCTGTCACTGAGGCCTGTCACCACAGGTCACCACCCACAGTCAGATCCAACCTGCTCCAAGCCCGAGCCAGAGGAGCCCGCAGGCTGTGTGGACAAGCCCAGTGCACGTGCCTGGACAAGGCCAGGTGCGGCCACAGGTAATGGTATATCAGCCGCTACACAGTCAAAGTGTCAGGAAACAGTTCATCAGGTTTGTGTCCCACATCTGACTTTGGTGAGTAATGTCCGGGTTCTTAAAAGCTTGTGAGAGGCTGGCCACGTAAGATACAACTATGGCTTCCAGTCATCTGGAACACAAGAGACAGGCAGAAACCAGACTCAGAGAACAAACACATCTACAGGTCTAATAGTCTATTCGGACCAAGGCCTCATTTACCCTGAGACCATGGGAACTAGATGGTGCCCAGCCTCACCTACCCTGAGATCAGAGGAACTAGATGGTGCCTGGCTTCATCTACCCTGAGACCATGGGAACTAGATGGTGCCCAGCCTCACCTACCCTGAGACCATGGGAACTAGATGGTGCCCATTACACTACTGACTATTGTGATTAGGGCCACAAGGTGGTGGTGGCTGTGTGCCATGGAGTAGGTTCCAACTCATAGCGACCCTGTACAGGGTTTCCAAGGTTGTAAATCTTTATGGAAGCAGAAAGCCTCATCGTTCTCCTGCAGAGCAGCTGGTAGTTTCAAACTGCTGACCTTGTGTTTCGCAGCCCAATTCGTAACCACAACACTACCAGACTGACCATTCTGATCAGGGCTACAAGAGATGGGCCTTAATAGGATGGAAGAAAAATATTGAACAGAATCTCAAACTCAAAACATTCAGAATCACTGGACCAGTTGAAACTGGAAGACTCCCTGAGACGATCGCTTCAAACCTTGAACCAAAACTAGCTCCTAGGGTCACTTTTTAGCTGGATTACATCCAAATGAAAGAGCATCACCCAGGAGTACTGTGCTCCTTCCAAAACATCATCTCTATGAGACCAAATGGTCAACAGTGACTTTAAGACAAAGATGAGAAGGTCAGGGGGCAGTGGAATCAGGTGATCAGAACTGGAGCCATCAGAGGGGAAGTCAGGAGAATGTCCACACATGATGGCGAATGTAACCAGAGCCACTGAGCAGGTGGGAACTTTCACTGAAAACACAATGAAGTCGGGTTTGGTTTTTTTGTGAAGTGCTACACTTGAAAGCTCACAGCCCTAACGGCTAGCATGTGGACCTCTATTTGGAACCTAGCTCAGTGCTGTCCACTTGATTCTGACTTATAGTGACCCTGTAAACACAGTAGAGCTGCCCTCTAAGGTTCTCAAGGCTCGAAGCCTTAACAGTAGCAGACAGCCTCACCTTTCTCAGAGGGGCTGCTGGGCTGGAACTGCCGACCTATTAGGTAGCAGCCCAGCCCTTAACCCAAGGTGCCACCAATGCCTCTTTTCAACGTCTATCAAAATACAAAACTCAATGCATTGAATCAATTCCGACACATTGATGTGGGTTAAGTGCCATCCAGTCGGTTCTGACTCAGTGACCCTGCATAGAGTCTCCTAGGATCGGCTGGTGGGTTTGAACCGCCCACCTTGAGGTTAGCAGTTCCGTGCTTATCCTACACTGCCACACCAGGACTCATATAGGATCTCCAAGACTGTCAACCTTTCCGGGAGCGGGCAGCCTCATTTTTCTCCCTCAGAGCAGCTGGTGGATTTGAACCACCGACCTTGTGGTTAGCACCAAAGCCTAACCCACAGCCTGTGCTCTGGAAAGCTGTCTAGTGGTGATGAGATTCGAACCACACACATACTCCGTTATTACAGGGACGCCCTGGCTGGACCCAATTCAAGTTAAAAGAGGAGGAAACCCAAGTCAGAGCCGTGTGTGGCATTGTACAGGGTAAGCACGGGTCTGTGAGCCTCACTAACCACAGGTCAGCAGTTCAAACCCACCAGATGCTCTTGGAAACGCTACACAAGGTCGCTATGCTGTGAGTTGGAACCGACTCAACAAAGCCCAGGTCCTCGTTCACTTCTGTTCAGTTTCATCGGTCTAGCGGCCCAAACTAACAATCCTTAAAAAGGAATCCCCCGGGGGCCACAAACGGTTCCTGTCCTGTCACTGAAACCCTATGGAGCGCCAGTCGGAATCGTGTCAACTGGCGGGTGGCTGGGCCCCCGTTACCTCCCCCGTGTGCGTGCACAGGTGCGCATCTAGCTTCCAGGCCTTGTTGTAATTCGCGCTGCAATCCCGGAAGGAGCAGATGAACCTCCGGGGAAGCGGCGGGGCGGGGCCAGGGCTCTCGCCGGCCGCCGTGAACGCCTCAGCGATGGTCAAGGACGACACAGCCTCGGTGACTGCGGACGGAGGATCCAGGGCGTCACCGCCTCCTCGCCCCGACCAGGCGTGCAGCCAAACGCAGAAGACAGGTGAGCGCCGGAACCCTCAGGCTGGAGCACCAGCTGAGCCGCGCACTTCCGGGTCCGCGACGGGCAGGCCGACAGGCAGGATGGGCGGGGCGCGAGGCTTCAAGAAGGCCCCGCCCCTCTGGGCGCCTCACGCTGCTCGTGCGTCTGACTTAGGAGGCCGGGAAGTCTTGAGGTGCGCCTCCGAAAGCAAGCAAATCCCGAGTCGTTGCTTAATGTGAACGGTTCCCCAGTTACCACCACCCTCTTCAAAGTACTAACCTTGCATTTAAAATTGTCTATTCTTTGGACTTTTGCTTATGGATGTCATTGCTCAAAATTCCAACCAGAATGGAAGATTTCATATCAAAGAGCAAGTTTGTTTTCTCAGTCTAATGGGTTGGCAGGGACCGGCTATTTAGACATTGGTCATCAAAAATGGTGGCTGGCTTACAAGCGTTCATGAATATGCTTAGTTTCAGAACAAGGCTGGGGTGGGGTAAGGTAGAATCTCCCCTGAATAGTTGCCCTCTTTTCTAGATGAATCTGGTAAAAGGCGGCGGGCGATGATGCTGATCGGATTTTATTATTCCATTGTGAGTCATAAACTAATTGTGATTGTCACAACTGTAGAAGATGTGTAACTAAAAGCGGGGAGTCGTTAATACTTCATTCCAGGACAGATGATTCCAGAACCATCTAGAAGAGCATGAGTGGAGCGTGAGATCTACCCAGAAAAATGATGACAGCCGAGACTAGATTGTGTCATGGAGAGACAGAGCAGCGTGAGGCTCTAGATCCATGGACTGAGGAAGGCTGTGTGCCTGTGGACAGGAGGCCGGCTTGCAGAATGTGCCCTTTGGACATTTAAACGAATATATATTTTATTTTGTTTTGTATGTGTGCATCAAATATTTTTGCTTTGTTCATTTGCAAAATAATAAGATGTAAATGGGGAACCACAGAAAGGAAGTGGGATAACTGTTGTTGCCGGGAGGGGGTTGTAATTATTGAGATGAAACAAAGTATATGATTTGTTGAATGTAAAGCTGATGATCTTGTGTGTAAACCTTCATTCAAGTCATAATAAAAAGTTTTTAAAAATAGCTTGTTCTTAAACAGTGACACCAGAGATGGAGGCAGAGACGATGACATGGAGAGATGGAGCAGCTGGGGACTCCAGCTACACCCAGAGAGGAAGAGGGGCTGTGTGCTGACGACCAGGGGGCAGGCTTGCAGGGTATACCTTTTGGTTGGTTGATGCTGCATGGAAGGGATTGGTAACCATGGCAATGAAATGATATACGATAGGATGATTGTAAAGCTAATGTAAACTATCACATAATTCACATTAAAATATTTTTTAAAAATTGCTTCTTCTTACCATGTTATCAGTTTGTCTACTTTGTGGTTAAGTACCTTACAATCCATATTACAGTGAACCCATGTGACACACCACAGGACTGCCCCATAGGGTTGCCAAGGCTGTCATCTATACAGATGCAAATTGCCACATCTTTCCTCTTCAGACTGACTGATGGATTTGACCTGCTGACCTTTCTATTAGCAGCCTCACCTCCTGGACTCCTCGTATCTACTTTAGGAATCCATTTTCTTACCTGCTCTACACATCTTCCATAAGCTCCAGATCAAAGCCAAATCCAACACCCTTGGTAAGCCTGACTCAGCTGGAAATCTGTTCTCCTAAATATTTACAGCCTCAGAAAGCCTAAAGGGGTAGTTCTGCCTTGTTATATAGGTCGCTGTGAGTCAGAATCAACTCGCCGACAATAGGTTTTGATGAGGAAAATAGATTGCACTCATCTAGCAAAATTGTAGCTTTGGAGTTATGGTGTTGGAGGAGAATATCGAAAGTGCCATGGGCTAACAAAAGAACCAACAGATCTGTGTTGGAAGAAGTGCAGCCAGAGTGCTCCTTGGAGGCCAGGATGGCCAAACTTCGTCTCTCATACTTTGGACATATTGTCAGGAGGGACAAGTTGCTGAAGAAGGATATCATGTTTGGTTAGGTGGAGGGTCAGAGAAAAGAGGAAGACCCCAGTGTCAGCATCAGTGGGCTCAAGCGTGGCAACAGTAGTGAGGTTGGCCCAGGATCAGGCAGTGTTTCATTCTGTTGTACATAAGGTCTCTATGGGTCAGTACCTACTTGATGGCACCTAACAACAACAACAACAAACAAACAACAAAAATAACCTAAAGGTTGGCAGATCAAACCCAAATAATGGCTCAGCAGAAGAAAGGCATTGCAATCTAAAAGCATTCAGGCCAAGAAAACCTTATGGAGCAATTGTGTTCTGTCATATGTAGGGCTGCCAAGAGTTGAAATGCGTGATACAAGGACCAAAAAAAGCTTTCTTTTATTATCATTTAAAAATACTTCTTTAAGGAAACATCACTAGGTTCTTCCATGGCACCGGTAGGTGGGTTTGAACCACAGACCTTTAGTTTAGTAGTCAAAGACAAGCTGGAACCAAGACAGAGGTTCCTCAATTTGTCCATACATTAGGATTATGTGGAGATCTTTAAAAAATGCCAAAGGTCAGGGCCTGCTGCAGACCAACAGACCCACAGGCAGAATAGCCTAAACCCCAAATAACCAAAGCCATGCCATTGAGTTGCTGCCGACTCATAGTGACCCTACTGGTTAGACCAGAATTACTAGGTAGAGTTTCAGAGGGCATACGGAAATCCAACAATTGTTATGGAAGCAGATTACCAGATCTGTCTGCTTCCTGGTCGGGACCAATCACTGACCTTGCTTAACACATTGAGCCACCAGGGCTCATTTTAGATGAACAATGCAAAAAATGAGCAAACCCAAACCCCGTGCCATGGAGTCAATTCTGACTCCTAGCCACCCTACAGGGCAGACTGTTCATTACAGAAGCAAATGGCGACATCTTTCTCCCAAGGAACAGCTGGTGGTTTTGAAACACCGATTTTGGGATTAGCAGTCCAACGCCTAACCCACAGCTCTCCTGAAAATGATCTAATGTCCACAGGCCCTTCAATTGAGCATATCAAAGCTGCTCTCCCATGCCCTTTCTCCAGAGTCTACTTGTCTTCATGAATGATGCCCAGGGCTTCCCCCTACCCTCATCTGAATGTGTTGACTAGGTAGGTGGTCCATCACTGTTGATTTACAGCTCCCCTCCCCCCACCCGTTTTCTGTTACCCTGAGGTGTGTTGTAATTCCACCAGGAGAGGAGCAAGTGGTCAGGGATCAGATAGATCTGGTCTACAACCACATGGAGAGAAGTCTGCTCAGGGACCACTTAGCCCCAAACTCTCCAGATCCCCCCAGCTCTCCCCAATCATCCTTTCATAAACCTTAGTCCTTTGAAGACTGCAGTCTTCCAGTCCTGATCTTAGCAAACCCCACCAAATGAATGTTTTTCCCACCTGATGAGTTTAGGTAAGAAAGGTGGGGGAAGATGCTGATAGATTATCTGATTCAACTGTGAGTGGTTGTTAAGACGGTTCATTGTGATTGTAAAAGCTGGAGCTCTAACAAGGGGACTGGCCGATTTTGCCAGCCTGCTGGGGATAAAATGAGCCAGCTCAGAAGCAGAGAGGGGAATTTCACTACCACCGGAGGACTGGAAGGGAGCATGTACTTGGGACTTGGATTCAGGTCCTGAATGTCCTCAACTCAGGGGCAGATTGACTCTGACCCCAGAGATTAACTGTGACCCCTTAAGCAACAGAACCAAGAGGACTAGTCAGAGCCGCGGACTTCCCAGCCTACAGAGAGAAGCTGAGTGCCTTCAGGCAGGAGGTTTTGCTTGGAGAATGCGTGACTCCAGACAGTGAATCTAGGTTTGCAGAGCCCACAGGACTATAGCACTATGGGGCTGGGGCAGATAGGAGAGTGCCTCTGCTCATTTAAAAGAGCTTTTTAGCATTGCCCAAATGGGGCCAAGGGGCCAAGGGCCTGAGCGGGTCCTGCCTGTGTAAGGACCAAACTGATTTTACCTGATTTTGCCTACCTAGAGACTGCTTGACTAAACTCTAGTCAGGCTCAGGAAAGCATTTTAAATAGACAAGGCCTCAGTTTTTAGTTCCCTCCAGAGACAAGGTCAATCTCCATTCTGTACATTAGCCTGAACACGTACTCTAGCTCCAAGAAAATGATATATGTATCAATAGCCAGGCAGCTCAAGGCCAGAGGCCAGATGTTTTCCTTTACCCTAGCCTAAGAACAAAGACCACCAGTCCTGACCAATTAAACTGTAACATCTCATAGTTTGCCAATTGTTAACCAATCCAAAGATTGTAAAGCTGAGAAACCTGAGCTGTTTGAAAATTCTATAAAAACCCTGCAGACAATGAATTCAGGGCTCTTTCCCTATTCCGATGCGTAGGATAAGGTTAGAGACCTGGCTCAAGCTTGATTAAACTTCCCTTATGTATTTGCATCGGTACACGGCTCCTGGGTGGTCTTTGGGGACCCCGAATTCTGGGCATAACACCTGCAGGCATGGCTTGGAAGAGGCTGTCTTAACCAGTGTTCTGAGCATTTCTGACCGAGTAGTAACTGGTTCACTTCCCTAATAAACCGCACAATCGTGAGTATGGTCTATGAGTTCTGTGGGGTCACCACAATGGAATCTCGCACCCTGCTAAGAAGCTTAAAGGGCATGTGGTGGGAGGAATGGGAGGGCTGGTGTCAGAATCCGTAAGAAGGTTGCTGGGTGGAGGCATATCTGACCTTAGCCTCTTAGGAATCAGCTTTGGGCTGACTGTTGAATTTGAGTCTCCTCCTCCCTACTTGGGAAGCAGGAGGAGGTTAGAAGCCACCTCAACGCCCTTGTTACAAAAACCACCTGAGATGCTCCAATTTTTATTAAGAGTTGTTGTTGCTAAGTGCCTTCGAGTTGTCCCAACTCACAGTGACCCCGTGTAGGGTTTCTGAAGCTGTAAATCTTTGCAGGAGCAGAAAGCCTCATCAGCTTTCCAAAGAG